GTTTGGAGCAATTCTGATTGCGTTTCAATCTATCGAGATCCTCTGCAAAGCGACAAGATTGAACAACTTTAACGAGATCTAGCAGGGTCGAATGGAATTCGACTTGGTCTACAACAAGAGTTCTGTGAGGTGAATTCGACTTGAGTCGATTAACAAAACGAAGACAATAAGAGAATATTCTAACGAGTTTATCCAATGACGAAAAACGATCGAGAAGCGAATCAACAACAGAAGCAGAGTTTACGACATCAGCAGGATTTACAACAACAAAAGCACGAGATTTTTCTTCCTCCGGAAAATCGTCAGTCTCCAATATCGTTTCTGGAGTGGGTTCGAATTCGGCGAGCCACGCAGGGCCGGTCCACCAAAGCTGGTGATCCACTAATTCTTGAGGAAACAAGCCCCTTGAACAACAATCGGCGGGGTTAGACTTGGTGTCGACATGTCTCAAGCAAGAGATATCTGTGTTGGACTGGATGCGGGCCACACGATTGCGCACAAACGTCTTCCAACGGTGGGGGGCCGAACGTATCCAGGCGAGCGCGACCTCGGAATCAGACCACGCGTACGTGCCGTCGATAGTAATCTTAGGCCGGAGGATGTTCCCGATATACTCCGCTAAGTCCGACAGTAAAACGGCTGCGCAAAGCTCGAGTCTCGGCAAGGTGATGGCCTTAAGCGGGGCCACCTTTGACTTGGCGCTGAGCATTCGAATCAGTACCCCGTCCTCGGCGACGATTCTAATATATACAACGGCTCCGTAGCCCTGTTCACTCGCGTCACAAAATCCGTGTATCTCCCGTCGGATTACGTTGGCCATGGCGATAGTACGAGGTATGCGAATGGAAGCTAGCGCGGGGAGTTCCGATTTGTATCGTCCCCATCGAGAACATACTTCCGAAGGAGGCCTATCGTCCCACTCTAATTTGAGCACCCAGAGTTGCTGTATCAGTCTTTTAGCTGCAAACGTAAGGGGAGTCAGAAAGCCTAACGGGTCGAAAATACGAGCCAGTTTCGAGAAAATGGTGCGTTTGGTACAATCTCTGTCCAACGGGTGGACCTGAAAGCCGAAGTTGTCCGTTTGAGGATACCAACGAAGTCCGAGAACTTTGAGAAACTGATCTTCCGAGGATTCAAACGATAGCAATGATTAACTGCAAAGCTCTGGATCGAGACCTGCTAAGACTGACGGATGGCTGCTGGCCCATTTCCTGAGCCCGAAACCCGCGGTTTTAAGCAAAGCTTGTAGCTGCCGCTGAAGCTCACGGGCTTCCCCCTCAGATTCGGCGCTCGCCACCACGTCGTCGACATAGACGCTCTCCTCCAAGACCGCCGCGGCCAGAGGGTAGCTCACTTTGCCTTCCGTTGCCAATTTCAACAAGCAGGCGATTGCCAGGAACGGAGAACACGTCAATCCAAAAGTGACGGTCAACATCAAGTAGTCTAATATCGGATCATTCTCCGAGAAACGCCAGACTATTCTCTGGTAGTCACATTGACCGCGCTCGACCAAGATCCGAAGAAACATTTGTCTGACGTCCGCAGTGAGCGCCACGCGGCCTACCCGGAACCTCAACAATATCACGACTATATCCGTCTGTAACTTAGGCCCGGATCGCAATACGTCGTTCAACGAAACGCCGTTCAAATCCTTCGCCGAGGCGTCAAATACGACCCGCAATTTTGTGGTAGTGCTATCCGATTTGACTACCCCATGATGGGGCAAATAGAATACAGGTCCGTCCACCGGGAACGGCCGTTTAATCAGTTTCATATAACCGTTATTCAAATAATCCTGCATGAATTTGTTATAGTTCAATTTAAACTCTGCATCTAATTTAAAGCGACGCTCAAGTGCGCGAAATCTATTTAGGGCTACTTGACGCGTGCCGACAAAACAAGGTTTATCCCTTTTGAAAGGATACGATACGACAAAACGACCGGACGCGTCCCGACGCGTGGTCTGAGCGAATAATTCTTCGCAACGTTTATCCTCCTGCGAATACGGTGGGACCGATGGAATCTCGTCTAGTTGCCAAAATCGACTAAGAGATGCGTCCAACGAATCGAGAGTCATAAACGAATGTGTGGATCCCGGCGCCTGCGTCGATACCGAACCGACGAGAACCCAGCCGAAGACGGAATTGAAGGCGTCTGGTTCGCCCTTCTTTCCCACGCGACGGCCATCCCGAAGTAACGACGCGAAGATTTCTGCGCCGATCAGGATGTCGATGGGATCGGGTCGGTGATACCGCGGATCAGCTAGCCGCAATCCGTTCAAATGTTTCCACGCTCTTCGCTCGACCTGACTGCTAGGTAACGGGGCGGAGATGCGCGGAAGAATCGTAGCCTCTACTGGGGTGCGCGTGCTTTCCCTGCCCTGTGCTTGTATTACGAGTGAGGTGCGGCCTCGAGTTGCAGCCGCCCTTGTATCATTTACCGCGAGAACTACCGTATGGCACTTGGTTCGTCCGAAACCACCCCTCTGCATGCAACTTTCGGAAATAAAGTTTAGCTGGCTCGCGCTATCTAACAGAATACGAACGGGGAAGGGATTTCCGTGTGCGTCGAGCGCTTCGGCTTGTACCGTCGACAACAATACGATCGGGTTCGACCGCGCGACACTAGCCATGCTAACGAGGGGTTCGCTTCCCTGCGATGACGTTGTCCCCGATTCGGAGGGTGGTTCGGCGTCTGTGGGTGCATTCGCCGAGCCCGAGTTCTGCTCAAAATGCAGGAGCGTGTGATGTTTGGCCTTACACGACCGACACGTCCACGACGATGGACAGTCATTAACGCCGTAGCCCGCGCGGAGGCAGTTATAGCACAAGTTCGAAGCTTTAGCCGTCGAATGCCTCTCTCGGGGTGCTAACTTTAAGAACCGAGAACATTTTGCAACAGGGTGTTGTTCTTTACATACCGGACACTCGGCGGTTCGAGTTGCGAGCGACGAAGCCGACGCGGAATTCTTTGACGAAGTCGACTGAGACTTTTGCGACGTATTTTGTGAGCCCGATACCGACGCGAGAACCCGGCAGTGATCAGAGAGGAACTTTGTGAGCTGCGTGAATTTCGGTATTTCCTCCGCCCGGTGTTCAGATTCGAACTTCTCGCGGAGCGAGCGAGGGAGCTTCTCCAGCAAGAATTTGAGAAGGAGATAATCCCAAGCGTCTGTAGGAAATCCTAATAGATTCAATGCTCGCGTGTTCTCGGTGAAGGTGCTCAACAGCGTGCGCAGGGGGACGGCCGACTCCGACTTCAACGGCTGAGCTTTCAGC